GTGGGGTGGGTATGGGTGTGCTTGCAAGTGGTTGAAGGAGTGGAGGTCTCTCCAGGAGAAAAGAAGTTTACTCTGTTGGTGAAAGATGAGTAATTTGGAAGGCTGGCTAGGGAAAGTAAGATGAGTAAAATGATCTAAGTAGATAGATGATAATGAGTACAGAGAATTTTTTTTTCCCAAAGTAGCATTTCTTTCTTTCTTAGTTCTACTGATTTGCATTAGGCCCTGTTCATTCACTGTCCTCTTTCCCAGATATTACATTATCTTCTTAAATTACTTGTCTCTACTCTCTATTCCAATTCATCAGTTTATTCATTTTTTTTTTAAAAAAGGTCAAGTATCAACCATAATATTTCTACTGTGCCGCTTACTGCCCAATTTTGTCATGCTGTTTTGTTGTTGCTTTAACCTATGTGCTTCAAAAATCTTCAAAGGTGGCCTTTGTCTACAAAACACACACATAAGTCTTAACTCTGTAATAAGAAATCAGGCTCTCATGCTCTTCCTTCCTTAGTCTGTGTAGGCCATGACCTTCCAGGTTTATTTCCTGGCTAGTCACTGACTACGAATGACTATTTTTTAAAGCCAGAGAGATGCCTTTATGAACTTCTCTCAAGCTCTTAACAAATATTAATTCCTCCCTCTATTATGCTCAATTAGAACATTTATCACATTGTATCCTAGTTTTGTAAGAGTCTCCTGGCTCAGGGAGCCCCACACCATGTTTTTCATACTCTCTTTTGTATTCCTGGAGCCTAGCACATTGTCTGGCACAGTAGGTGACTAATTAATATTTGTTCATTCTTTGCCTAATAAATAAACTGATGACACCTCCTTTAAAATATGTGAAGCAAGATTATTGGAGAGAATTAGCTTTCAAATTTTCATCCTCTGGATAATTTTCTCTCTCACTAATAGAAAAACGTGGCAGCCATACATATTTTTTCAATGTAGCTCAAAGCCAGTCTTTTATTTAAACTCTCTTTGACGGTGTGCCTCCTCTCACTCCCGCAAGAATCTTATAAATCCTGGCTAAAGGCTGTTGTGGATGGCTTGCACAGAGAAAAGAATTTTTTGCTTTCTCTATCCCTTACCAGATTTCTCCCTGCCACCAGCAGTGTGGAAGCCCTCTATCAGGAATTCTACCTTGCAAAAAACCATAAAGTTTTCAATATCGAGAAAAGGAATAATATAAAACCTGCAATCCCTTCTGCCAGGGCTTCCAGCTGCCGAAAACCAGTATTACCTGGGCGTCCATGAGAATGCATTCGTGGGATAATAAAAAGAGGACGAGAGGGCTACTTTCAAACCTTAGCAAATGATTGTACTCTAGAAAATAAATGTTTTTACGCTTGGTCAGAGTTTCTTTTCCATTCCTGTATTTCAAGCGCACAGCAACTTTAAGTTTGCTGCCAGCTATATATCATTTAAGAGAAGCTTTTCATCAAAGGCAAGAAGAAAAAGAACGGAGGGAAAAAAACACTGCGTTTACAAAATGGAAAAATTCTTTGCTCCTTCTCCCTTCTCCCCACATCTCCGACCTGCCTGAAAACCAAAATACAGTAGGTAAGCAGTTTGTAGCGATCCCCTTTGAAGGTAATTTCCTTTGGAAGGTAACTAAGCTAGGCGCCAGTTGCCTCCACACGCCCTGCCTCTGTTTCCTCCCTCTTGCCCTGTGCAACCTTCTCCAAAGGCGCGGTGCATCCTTTCTCCCAGGGCTAAAGAAAGAATTGTCCGCAATCAGGGGAAATGGATTAGCCTCAAATTCAGGAGAGCAGAGCCTTGCTCCTCAAAACGAGAAGAGCAAGCTCAGAAGGGAAGCCGCAGCGGGCTTCCGTCTTGTGAAACCTATTCTTGAATATTCCCAATTTGGCGTGTGGATCTCTAGAAGTGGCTGCACGTCCTTGTAATAAAGAGCACCGTGGCCTCCCCTCTGCAGCAGCAGCGGCTGGAGCCTTTCTTTCCGAGACTCCTAATTTCCAGTCCCTTCTTTCCGTTAAGCGAACTCCCCAGCCTGCACTTTGGGCTATGGTTGCCGCCCCACACACACCATTTCCTTGGTAAGACCACCCTACTAGCCTTTCTTGTCTTGCCCTGTGAAAGGCGAAGAGACGGCCATGGAATTTTAAAGAAGCCAGTTTTCACATCCTCCTTCCTTATCACCCAGGGGCAGAGGGGGAGAGAATGCAGCGGAGATTTAGCACTGGAAACTATTATCATTGCATCTGAAAAACTTGCCCTCTTACAGTACTGCCAAATAAGTAAATTCACTGTGAATAGTGAAGGTGTAAACTGAAGAGGGGAGAGAGCGGGACACGGAGGGAATGAGGAAAAAATTGAGGGAAGAGCCCAAATCTGGGTTTGATCCCCGGGTTCAAAACCGGCCGCAGCCTGGCCCCCAGTGGCAGCACCCGCCTCAGGCGCCCCCAAGCGCCTCTGGGGAGCGCGGGACTGGAAGGGGGAGCTGCGAGCGAGAGCGCGGGAAGGGTCGAAGGGAAGCGACGGCGGCTGCGCGCAGGGAGCGCGCGGGGCAGGGCAGCTCGCGCTCCCGGCCGGCCGGGATTCTTCACTGCGCTTCTTCTCCGCCGACCCGCTCCGCAGCTGACATCATTGCCAGAAGGAGGGGCTGCCCGTGCGAAGGCGACTGGAGAACAGGGTTCTCGTGCCTCGCTCGCGGAGGCGCTTCCTCGCCGTTTGGCAAGCGTGGCGCCCTGGCAGAGGGACTCAGCTCGCGGGAGCTGCGCGCGGCGGCGGTTCTTAATTTAGCAGAGGGAGAAAGGTATCTTTAGATCGTAGCGCGTCCACATCTCGATTCTTTCGTCAAAACCGCCCGCGCACCTCCGCTCTGCCTCCGATGAACCAGACAAAGGCAAGAAAGGGGGAAACATGTACATATACTATTACTTCGACTTGCTCTTAAATGCCCCCCCCACACACACACACACACGCACGTACGCACGCGCGCACACACAAAGGATAGCCCTGACGCAGAGATTTCCCGCCGTGATTGTGTGAGTTTGTTTCAAACAAGATTAAGAGTGGAATTCCATTTAGTCTTTACCAAGTTACGAAAGTGCCCGCTAGTATCTTTTTTTTATCTTTTGAGTCACACCTGTTTTACTTTTGGGGGGGGGTAGGGAGACAGTCGCTTTAAGTCACAGAGCTCCACTGCCTTCTCAGGTGTTGTGCTTAGTGTTTGCAATTCTTCTTGGCACGCTCCTCAGGTTGTTTCCGGGTTGCAGCGCTAAGAGCACTCAGTTGGCTCCTCTAACACCACCGCCCCCTCCCCATCTTTTCTGCTCCCTTCCCCTCTACCCCGATTTTCAACGACTTTCTTCCACATAGTTTTCTTCATATAGAAACAGCTCCTAGGCTAGGTTTAAATCCTATCTTGAGATGTTTCCACGCAATGAAAAGCATGTTTTTATTTTGTTTGTTGCGATATAATTCTATTTTTTCTTTTGTCCTAGCCCCTCTTCTCTATGGTTTTTGCTTTACGGGTGTGTGCCGCAGTGGTGCAAGTTTGGATTCCCAGCCCCCAACCCCCACCCCCAGCCAACATTCTGGAAGGGCACCCGAATCCTGGAGACCAGGGCCCGCCCGCAGGCGCGCGTGCGCACACGCGCTCCACACGTGAACCCCAGCGCCCCGCACCCCAAGCCGCAAAGGCAGCCAAAGCACCGGAGCGGAATAAATCATTCTGGAAGCAAAGGGGCCGTCTTCAGCTAAACTGTAAAAGTCTTTCCTTGGGGGAGGCAAGGAGGCGGCTCTTAGTATACATACACTCTGGGAAAGTGACCCCCTGGGAGTCGATTTGCAACCTAGCGCTCACATGCAAGTCGTGTCTCCAACCCAGGGCTGTCTGCCGCTCCTCCACTCTTCTAAAGTCTCTAAAGAAAGGCACCGGTTAGCAGCTACTCGCTTTAAAAAAGTCACCTTTTCCGATAACGCTCTTATTAAAAGGTATTCTTTTTTCGTGAAAAAGGGCCGTTTTATGGCTATGCGCTTTAAGAAAAATAATTCCTTTGTGGAGAGGTGAACGGTTTCTCCGTTCTGTCTTAGAAAACGCCATTTATTTATGGGTTAGGTGGGAGGATTTTTTTGGCAAAGGGATTACAAGTCATTTCTTTAGAGGACGAAAAATGTTATGTTTGGCTACACTATTAGAAAAAGTCATTTTTGTAAATGAGAAAAGGATGCTGTTTTCAGCTACACGATTATAAGAAGTTTTTTAGTTTTTTTTTTTTTTAAATTAAGATAAGGCAGAATTTTCCACACCTACCATCTCCACATCCAGCAGGTGCTGGCTGAGCATAGCCTTAGAAGTAGGGCGCGAAGGAAAGGAGCAAAGGCGAGTGCCAAGAGGAACGGCCCGGGGTAAGGAGGTAGGGGAGAATCCTGCGCGCTCCGTGGCGCGCAGCGCTCTCCTTCGCTCTGCGCCAAGGGTCGGATCCCCCTTGGTTTGGAGCCAGCCTGGCAGGTATCCAAACCCGAGACCCAGGACAGAGGAGTGCAGCAAGGCTAGAGTCTTGCGAAGTCCGTGGTGGATTCACGGTTGGGGCATTGCCCCTCAGCTCGGACCGCTCTGCCAGGCTAGTCTGGGCGACTGGGGCGTGATCTTTTCTTAGCACCTGCCCCAATCTTAGAGTTTCTCTGCGGCTTCGCTGAAGCTGACTGTATCTGTTAAAGCAAAAGCCAACGTCGAGGAAATTCATGCGCGGACACTTTTCTGACAAAAGTGAGAGTTTTTGCAAAGTAACCAAGCAAAGCACTGGCAATGCCAAAAATGTTTTCTCTCTGCGCTCACCTCTGGGGTTTGCTCTTTCTCTCACCTCCAGGGAAGAGAAGGGGAAAGGGAAGACACCAGAATCATCTCTAACATCACTCTGTGGTGCTAGTCCGGACCCCAGGCTCAGGCATCAGGCAACCTCTGCGCACTAAGTATGGGACTCACGCCTCCCTAGCCACGCTCCTTGCTGGCACCCGCGCCCGATGCTTACCTAGTGTATGACGCCTCTTGAGTAGAATGAAGAGGTAAACGAAAAGGAGAAAAAGGCTTTCGCCCGCTCCACGGAGACTGCGAGTGCTGTAGCGGGCTCTACCGCCACAGCTCGCAGTCCGCGGAGCAGCTGGAGTCGCAGAGGATGTTTGTGAGGCTGTTCCGGCCGCCCGGGTGCCTGGGCCGCCTATGCCGCCTGTGTAGCTGCTGCCACTGCCACTCAGAGCACTCTGTTTGGCTTGCCTATCGCTTTGCCGCGCGGACCGCTGCGTGCAGCTCTGGCTCACAGCAACTCCCGCCCTGACAGTTCGCTGACTGCAAGGAGCCAGTGCCGAGCCAGCCCTTTTCAATGGCAAGGGGGAGGGACTAGAAAGAGGGGGAGAAGGGGGAAGGAAGGGGGATGAGCGAGTGGAAGGCGGGGCAGGGAGGTAGGAGGGAGAGAAGTGAACCAGTGCCCGGGCCGCCTGCTGGGAGGGGATGGCGCAGCACCAACTGCTGGGTACCCCCCTCTGGTCCCCACTTCCTGCACCCCACATCCCCCACTGCTTTGGGGGTGGCCCTTCTCCGCTGACGGAGGACCGGGGAGAAGGGCGGGGGCGAAATGGAGGTAAGCTTAGGAAGTTACTGCTTGCCGCCCGGAGAAAGCGGCATAATGGGTGCTGGCAGCACACTCGCATGCGGGACCCGCTGCTGAGGAAACCGCGCAGCTTTCAGGCTGCCCGCTTTTCTGAGTAAAAACGAGGGCATGCGATGCTCCCCTCAGTCTTCCACTAGCTGCTCTCTTGGGCTTCCCTTTAAGTTTCACTCATCCACATTATCTTACAGAAGTTTGATGTTTCTTGTTTTGTGTGCTTTTCTTGTGATCCTCTAGCTGTCCTGACTCCAGCTAGAGAGCAAGCATCGGGCAGCACCATTTTCTCATAGAAAGGATACTTAAGGCAGACTAGTGGAAGTAGGGGGCAGAATCCGGGCAAAGCCGCAGTTGGAGCCGAGAGGGTGTGCCTACATAAATCATACTCAGCTGTGAGCGGAGTCTGGTACCTCGGTTGCCTTTCCGGATTGATCCTCTGAGGGCGGCAAGGCTGGTGTGTGTGTATCAGAGACAGGAGATCTAGCGTTTGGCTACTCCAGAGAACAAGTACGAGTGAGCTTTAAGCAAGTCGGTGCTGCTTTAGTCGGGACCCGGCAGCATCGCGGGCGTGGACGGAGCGTTTCCAAGGTAGGAAGGGAAGCAAGAGAGGGAGGAAACCAGCCCGGAGCTACAAGGCTGGAGCTTGTGAGCGCGCTCCAGCTGCCTAGTCGGCGACTCTTGGGCGGACATTGGAGTGCCGGGTCTCCCAAGACCACTAAAGCAACCAGGGGCGATGTGGCTGGTTTATGACTTAAATGGGTCGTGAGTATCAGGAAGCAGGGGCTAATCCCATAGTCCCTAGCTTTCGATTTAAAAACAAACAGCAAAAACATCAAAATCTCCCCAGCTCGTCTACTCTGATTCTTGTTCCAAGGAGAAGTCCTTAAATTTACCCAGAGGCCAGAGGCTGAAGAAGAACCAGGTGAATTTTCTAAATTCCTCGCTCCACAAATGTGTGCGGTTTTAGGGGGAAATCCACTTTCCGCGCTTAACCTGTACCAAAACTTATCTTTCTGGTGCTCTGCTGTGTTTTTGAAAGCAGGCGGCTCTCTTTCCTGAATTAAAAGGAGAAAAGGTACAGAATGTTTTGGGGTGTCAAGAGAACAGTATTCATTTTTATTGTCTGCTGAATGGAAGGGGAGATAGCATCTGTATAGGGATAGAACATCAAAGAAGAAAAAATTGCCAAATTATAATGAGTTTGGTTCTCTCTAATAGCTTCCTCATGGAAAGTTTTTTATTGAAGGGCAAATCTTTCTGACTTCTTTCCCCAATATGTTCCCCTCTATCTTCTTAACTGCTTCCTTTCCAATTCCTGATATTTTTAAAGGTGAAAACCTTCGTTTAAAATATTAATCACATCACTTTAAAAAAATTTTTTTTTGCGTTTTCCTTACACCTAAAGCCACACTACTGGGAGAAACATCAGCACAGCAGTTCAATGCAGTGCGCTTGAAAGAAAACACAGAAAAGTATTTATTCACACATATCTGAAGAGACACTTTACTATTAATATAGTACTCCTTTTATAGCTCTGCCTCTATTATTTCCAGTGTCCAGCACATGCATTGTCCTCTTCTTACAGTTAGGAAATGTCTGGGAGATAAAATCAGAATCTGTCAAATCGTTATGGCTCTGTCTGTTGGGGTTTGCACTGCTGGATGAAACTCTGTCATAGGAGATACCAGGAACTAAATGCAAATATAATCACTGATTGATCCAGGAACAGTGTGGCAAAGCCATGCCAGGTGGGTACTTTCAGAGCACTAATAATTATTCATAATATCCACATTAGATGCCAGTTAATTGATTACTGAAGATTTCCATTTAAATTCCAGGCAGGGGAAGAGAACTATTTGGTGACTGTTTAAAGCATTTAAAGTTATCATCATGACAAACATATGTGGTTAATACTATTATCCCCATTTTGCAATTCCTGAAAATGAAACTCATAAAGGACAGGTAATTTGCACAAGACCATGAAGCTAAAGAGTGACGGACTCTGGATTTCCATTCAGGGTGTATAACTCCTAATTTCAGCTACATGATTGCTTTATGGTTAATCTGGATTCTTCTATAATATAGAGCACAACATTTAGTTTTAAGTGTACAGTCTAACAGAAAATGATCTCTTTAAAATAGAAACATTACTTAAAGACCAAGGAGACTCTACTAGTAGAACTGAGTAACCCAAAAAATCATCGGAGAAATCGAATTTGTTGAAATGACTGACAGAAATCCACATCTGAAAATAATGATAATTTTTCCCATTTTCTCTTCTCCCGTGTTCTGTCTGATGGTGGCACCAATGAGCAATGGAATAACCAAAAGCTAGGCCACCTGGCAAAAGCTCTAGGACTCTGCTCTACCTACAGAGAGAAGGACTCCCCTTTATTTCATGCCTTTTATGCACCATCTGCATTATATAAATTGTCCTATTAATCCTCAAAACCATTCTGTGAGGTAGGTGTTATTAGTTGCATTTTTTTTAACAAATAAGGAAACAGAGACTAGGTAAAATGCCCAAGGTTTTATAGCTATAAAATATAGAGTTAGGAAATTCAAACCTATATTATTTCTAATCCACTGTGCTGCCCCACAGCATATGTTCTTAAGATTGTGCTAGCATACACTTTCAATATGCAAATTACCTCAAAAATTTTATAATTGACAAAAGCCCTCAAAAGTAAAAGGGGCAATGTGGTAATCTGGTTTTTTGAGGAGATGCCATGAAGGAATTGTGATATTTATTGCATTTTATTTTTCAGTGTTCCAATTAGGAGCCTGAACCAGGGTTTTGCTAGGATCATAAAAGGGAAATTATGACACCCTGTACCCCATAAACATGGAAATATGTCTATTCTCTGAGGGTTAAACTATAAAGCCATTATATGATTATATAATGGATCAGAGGAGAGATTTTAAAAACTTCAGTGAGTGAGGATGTTTCTCAGGCCTGTAAGAATTGATTAAAACTGAGCAATAATGTGTCAGAATGAAGAAGGATTGTTTAGTTATGGAATTCTAGTAAAAGAAGACACAGAGAGATGAGCGTTTTTAATTCCTATACATGTACATTTTCATCTCTCTGGCAAAGCCACCCTTGATATGAGATTGATGAAGCCCATCAAATATTCTGTCATTTCGGTTGCTTTTGCATTGAAACACCCCTTATCAAGCAATCTGCCATCTGATTGTGATTTGTCTTCTGTGCAGAGAGGAAATGTATAGTTCATACAGATAAGAACGAGTACTTTTTATCTATCATGTGACAGTTATTTTGTACCAAATCCCATTCACTTTTGTGTTGTACATAACTTGCACTATATACATTGATGTTATAATCAATAGATCATTATTGTTATTGGGAAAGTAGGTGGGTATGTAGGCATGAAGCAGTAAGACTGGATAAGATAGGTTCTCCATGATATTTTTCATGTTTGATATTAAATCATCAGCAACAATTGCAATTAGTAGGAAGCAGTGATGCCCAGTGGTTAAGAAAATTACTTTGGTTTTAGATCAAATTTGAAGTCCCAGCTCTGCAACATTCTAGTTGTGTGGCTATGGGAACATTAATCTCTAAACTTGTATTGTCCAATAAGGTAACCATCAGCCACATATGGCTATTGAGCACGTCAAATGTGGCTGATCCAAGTTGAGATGTGCTGTAAATCTGAAATACAGACCTGATTTTGAAGGCTTAGTAAAAGAACAGACCAGACACACACACACTCAAGTGTGTAAAATATCTCAATATTGTATATCAATTACATGATAAAATGATATTTTAACTTATTGTTTAAATAAATATGTTATTAAAATTAATATCACATTTATTTTAATCTTTTTAATATTGCTGCTATAAAATTTTAAATTACATATGTAGCTTGCATTATATATTTTTGGACAGAGCTGTCCTAAAATCTTTAGTTTCTTCCTCTAAAGTTGGGAATAATATCCTTATCCACCTCAAAATATTCTAGTAATATTTAAATAAGATAATGCACTGAAAATGCTTAGCACAGTTTCTGACTGTAAGCTAAAACGTTGTCACTCTGCAAGAGTTAGAAATAAAGATTTTAAGTAAAATTAAAAGATAACTTAACCCTTAATGGGATAGAGACTGCTTAAAGTGAAAGCCTTAGTTAAGAATTCATTTCTTTTCATCCTAAGTGAAATCATTCTACTTTCTAAAACCAACAACAAACATATGTGTGTGGTGGTAGGCGGAGGGACAATAATGTGACATACAAAAATGATAGTGTATATGCAAGTGCTTTGAAAAGTTAAAAGTACTTTCTCAATTTTAAGCATTTTTGCTATCACCATTTGTACAAGCACTTTTACATTTAATTGGCAGATAATTCTAGTGTTCAGGCATTCAAGTCACAAATGAAAATAAGGCTGTAATTGATACAGGTACACACAAGGCAAATGAATGTCTGCAGAAGCTAAAGATATAGAAATAGGAGAAAGGCTGGTAGTTACAGAGCTCTGTGCTGCTGGTAGTTTACTTGCAGATGTACTGTTTCTAGCTGATCACCAAATGCAGTAGCTTAACTGGAGACACTAGAGGGTGCTATTAGTGAAAATTTAGAAAGAATAAAGTCTTCCAACACCTTTCCTCCTCTCCTCCACTATAAATTATAAGAATCTGAAAAGGGCATACCTGTGAAATGAAACTAACACTTCTCCATTCCCTCCAGGACATGACTTGCAAGGTCTTTGTTAGACCTGGGACTGGTCTTG